CGGCGGCAGGGCGGCGGAAGGGCGGCAGAAGGTCGGCGGAAGTAAAACGAGGCCGCCTCCGCCGCGGAAGCCGGCGGAAGGCGGCGGAAGTAGAAGATGTGCCCCCAAGGGATGAATCGGGGGAGCGTAAGACCCGGGTTTGCCGGGACGCGGGTTCGCCATCGTTTTTTGACGACCGCGACTCGGATTTTGACGAGGAGGAGTTTCGTGGGATGTCTGCAGCGGGAGGCCTCGTCAAAATGCAGGCTCGGCCTCGTCATTTTTTTGACGACCTCGTCGGGGATTTTCGAGTCCCCCGTACCCGGGTCTTACGTCTCCCCGAATGAAATCGTTTTGGGGTTCAGGGTTGGCGAAATCGCCCAAGTAACATTAGAAACACAAGCATCCGGACGTTCTCGCGGATGTTTTGGATCGGCGTTGGACTTACCTGGGCGCCGCCTCAGCGCTGACCTTGGCGCGCGCGCCAGAGGGGATGCGGAGGGGGTTAAAGTGCCGACCCAGGACATCCCATCCGTGCGGGCTTTGTTTTCGGTATTCTTTGGTATTCAGGAGTGGGCCAAGAAGACTGTGCGCCTCACTGGTAGCACGTCGATGCTCAGCACCACCCTGGTCTTCGTCGCCATCATGAACCTCTCGAAGATCAAGGGCTTCCGCAATGCCTTCGCCCCAGACGTGGACGAGCCCGATGAGGCCCTGGCAGGTATCCTCCTGAAGAGTCCGATCTTGGTGCCTTCGTTCATGAAGCTTGACGAGCACCAGCGTCAGGCAATCCTGTCCGCTCTGAAGGCCAACTTCAACTTCGGCCAGTTCCTGCAGGCTGAGAACCTGCCAGGGAACCTGTCCGCGGCCAAGCAGATCTTGATGGAATCGCGCAACACCAGCGGCTCTGTAAACACTCTCGGCCTGTTCCTGTTCCGCAATTTCGCGGCCCTTAGCGGGCTGCGCGGCAGGGACAGCTTAGAGGGTTCCCTCTTCATGACGGACAAGTTCTACTCCGACTACAAGGTAGGGCTCGACGTGCTGAAGCACTTGATGAGCGAGAGCGCGCAGCAGGTCTACGAGCGGTTCCTCAAGGAGCGTGCGCGGGGGCAGGCGCTGAGTTTCTACCCGCACGATCCTGAGTCTCGGGCGAGGGTGAGACTTGCCTGCCTCACCCGCGTGTTCGACGCGGAGGGTGGCAAGGAAGTGTCCGCGGCGCTGGGCAGCATGGAGCCCAGCCGGCGGAGGTCGCTGATCCACTTCCTGAACGCCGACGGCATCGACCAGAAGCCGGGCTTCCTGCTCTACTTCGCGCCCCAGGTCCTAGCCAACGCGCGGAAGAACCCCAGCATCGGCCTCACGCTCGGCCTGGAGATGCTTCTCAGCGTCTACGAGGCGGCGGCCAGGGAGTACGCTGACAGCGAGCAGGTGGTGGTCACGATCATGCTGCCGGAGCTGGTGGAGCGTGCGCTGAGCTGCACCGACGCCGAGAGCTTCAGATGCGCCAAGTTCGAGATCGCGCGCACGTCAGATAGCGTTGGTACGCTGCGCATGAGCCCGTGGCAGGTGCTTCAGGCAAATGTTTGCTCTGACCCTTGCCAGCCCCCCTCCCCTCCTCCTCCCTGGACGACAGACAAAAAGGCGAACGAACCAAATAGGCATCGCCCTTCGAAGGTCCGCGAGAACTGCTTGGGTCCAGCACCGACCCCATGATTCCCCGCGGGCCTCCGAAAGGCTTTGACTACGTAGCAGCTTCGGTCGTCTAGGATTATGTCGGGCATGTCCCTCTACGGGAGGAAAACTCAAGAATAGTAGAAGATCGTCTGGTGACGATGTTTCGTGCTCTTTTGACTATGTTTGATTATTGCTCTACTCTTCCTCATTCGTCTTTCCAAGTCCGCCTGCAGGAGGACATGCCCGACCTAACCACAGAGGCGGTCGCAGAGGGAAGGGCGGCAGGCGCACGCGCGGGCTTTGGGCGCTTCGCCCCGCGAGGTCTGGAACGACCCGGAGACGCTGGAGCACCTGTCGTCGGACGCCCGCGCGCTGGTCGCCAGGGGAGGGAAAGGCACCCGTGCCTCTCCAGTCAGCCCGCACAGTCAGGATGGGCAATCTTCCCAAGGGTGCCCTCGCATCCTTGCCTCCTCGGTCCATCCTTGGCCACTTTCGTTGGCCGCGCCCCGCCCGAAGAGCTTCGAAAAAGGGCGTCCAAGGCCCTTGCATCCTTATCGCGCGTCCTTCTGATGCGGGTCGACTGTACCCTTCGCCTGTCTTTCTCTTTTTCGGCCTCCTGGGAGGCCATCGTCGCCACCGCTGGATTCGCCTCGGAATCTTGGTCAGGACGCACCCCGGGAGAGGTCCAGGGAGTAGCGGTATTGGTACCTTTTGGTTTCCCCAGGTCGACGGCGTGCTGGGGTCCAAGCTGCGCGAGCCGGGCTTCCTGAAGAGACTGCCCCAGGCGTTCCCGGAGCTGCAGTTCTTCTCCGGTGAGGATCGGCTGCGCGCGGCTCCGGTGCCTTCCCCACCCACGTAAAAGCCGTGCCATGACCGCAAATCGGCAACAGTGGTGCGAACAGTCAGAGTGAAATTGAATACTGTCGAACAGCAGCTTGCCACGTGCAGAGGCAGCCGCTGTGTCTGCCCAGAGCGGCGGACAGACCATGCTCGTCTCCTCCCACGTCCCTCTCGCGTCCTGGTTCTTTCCAAGTTCGAGGGTCGAGCTTCAGGTTCCAGAGGTTCGAAGATCCAGGTTCGACTGAAACCTTGATCCTCGAACCTCTCGTTCTGTTTCGGGCGTTTCTGGAGATTCTCGCTCGCCGCAGCTGCCAGACGCGGCTGGCAAAACAGGCCAGGATGGACCCCGAGAGGGGTCTTCTCCTCCTCCTCCTCCTCCTCCTCCTCCTCCTCCTCCTCCGCCTCCTCCTCCTCCTCCTCCTCCTCCTCCTCCTCGGGGGCCAGTTCTGAGCAGGCTCGGGGACGGAGGGTGGGGCAGTCGGGGGGTGGGCGAGCCGTCTCGGCGGGCGGGGCGGGCGGGGGGGGAGGCTCCCAGAGTGGCCTGGCGGCTTCCGAGGAGACTTCTGCATGAGAGCCAGAGGCGACGCTAGGGGCGAATAGGCCAGGGGGGGAGCAGTACGTGTGCTCCAGATTTCGTAATAAAGGGAGGGGGGTCTCATTTCGGGGGGGGGGGTCTCTTCCAGGCTGTCTTGGAGGGCCTGGGGGGTCTGGGGACGATGTTTGGGAGGGTTCTCCCACGGGGGAGGTCTGAAATGGCTTGTCTTGGAGGGTCCAGACCCCCTCCCTTTTATTACGAAATTTGGAGCATCCGGGGGCGCCGAGGAGCTGTGTCTTCGGCGAGGCTCCCGGGCGAATGCGCGCCATGCCCGCTCCTGGGCGCTCCGCCCTGGGTCGTCGCCGCCGAGAGAGGCCGGTGCTGTCTTCTCAGGAAGCCCCGCACCTGATCGGGCGGGTGTTCCTGTCGGGGGAACGTAAGACCCGGGTTTGCCAGGACTCGGGTTCGCCATCGTTTTTTGACGACCGCGCCTCGGATTTTGACGAGGAGGAGTTTCGTGGGATGTCTGCAGCGGGAGGCCTCGTCAAAATGCAGGCTCGGCCTCGTCATTTTTTTGACGACCTCGTCGGGGATTTCCGAGTCCCCCGTACCCGGGTCTTACGTCTCCCCGATCCTGGGGGGGGGGCTAAATGAGGGGTGAAGAAATTTGCCCTGAACGAGCCCTTCGGGGGGGCCCTGAAGGAGCCCTTCGGGGCCCCGTGTGGGGCCCCTGCCGGCTCCAAGAGCTGCCCTGAAGAGCCCCGTTTGGGGCCCCTTTCTTCACCCCCCCCCTCTCCATTCAGGTCATCCCCCTCACCTCGCATCTCGCTCGGACGTGTGTACTTTGCTCGGTGAGGCCGGCGCCCGAAAGCTTGGATCATCTAGGAGCATGTTGGACAACCTCGTGGAAACAACACGCACGAGACCGAACAACGCACGGAGGCTGGACGCTAGAGCGATGGCAGGCTTAGCACCCGCCCGACCTGCCCTCCTGGTTGAGTGCGTTCCTTGGCCAGGTCCCTTGTCTTTCCATAGAGCTGCGCGCAGGAACCGGACACCTCTTTTTTCCCGGTCGCCGGCGCAACTCTGGAGGTGTCGCCGCGTCGCCCGTGGCGGCCAGCTGGTCCCAAGCAGACGCTGCAGACGGAAAAAGAGAGCGGCACGCCTCCCGACCGGCATGCGCCCCGACCCTCTAGGCCTACCCCCCCCAGGCATGCAGTCGGGGCGCTGCAGGGGGAACCCTTTTCGGTGGGGAGGGGCTCGGTGTCCCTTGCTCGTTCTGCAGTTTGCCTTCGGTTTTCCTGAGGCTTCCCACTGGCAATCGAACTTTCACTTATGGGAGCACGGGGCCTCGTTCCTCATTTAGGGCTCCTTAGGTCAACGCCCCGACTGTACGCGACTTCTTGGGCCTTAGACGCTCCGCTGCCTCGTCCCAAGCGCCCCGGCGCGCGCGAGCTGCCGAGGAGAGCGTGGCGCAGAGGGCCGCGCTCCGGGAGTCGCAGCTGGCCCTCCTGGCCGTGTACTGGACGGTCAGCGTTAGAAAGCCCAGGGTTCGCCAGGGGCCTTAGCTGCCTCGATACGCCCGTTCTGGTACGCAGCACGTGCCGTGTTCAAGACGTCCGTGTCAATACGTTGCGTGTTGGCTCAGCGTATTGGACCACGTTTTGGCGAATGTATCATGTCGGACCTACGTTTTCAGCCTACGTGTTTAGCGCCGTGTCAATACGCTACGTGTTGCGTGTTGCGTATCGGGGCAGCTAAGCTAGGGACTGGTTCCCCCCCCCAGAACAACGAAGAACCTTCCACCCCACCCCCCCCCGAAACCCTCTGAAGAGCCTCTGGGGACTCTCTTCCGGGAACGTGTTTCGCAGGGTTTCGGCGGGGTTTCGGCTGGTTTGGACGAAACCAAACCCTGACGAACCCTGGACTTTCCCAGGCCAGCGACCAGCTGGAGTCCTTCAACCGCGGCCAGGACCGGGGCGCCACGACCCTCCGCAGAGCGCCGCTGTCTCGGCTTCGAGGCCCGAGGTTTCCGGGCGCCTTCATCGGTCCTCGGCGGTTGTCCGCCGTCGGGGTGCTCTCCAGCAGCTGCGCCTCGTCGAGGGCGTGCTGGAGGTGCCCGGATCGTCCCGAACGGCCGCCAGAGATGGAGTTATAATCTAGGCCTCCTAGATGGGGTCGGAGGATCGCGCCGCATCGCCGATGCATCGGCGATGCATCAGCGATGCGGCTCGATGCGGGGCCCAATTTTCTCCACGCCGACGTCGCGGATGTATCGCCGACGTCGCCAACGCAGGGCCGATGCATCGCCGATGCATCAGCGATGCATCGCCGATTCATCGGCGATGCGGCAAGATCCTCCGACCCCATCTACTCGGACCCCATCTGGGAGGCTTCTACGTAACCCAGAAACCGTCTGGGGCTCATTTCGGCTTCTTCGACTCGATTCGAGTCGATCTCGGTCGATTTCGGTGTTGATTCGATTCGACCTCGGGTTCCCATCTGAACTCCGGTCTCTCAGCGGAGGCCGTCCTAGCCTTCCGATTTCCGCCGATTCGATTTCTTAGGACGTGGCTACCGATTTTCGCCGATCTTTTTCATTTCGATCGCCGATCCGACTTACCGGTTCGACTGCGAAGGCCGGACGGCAGGTGCCGCTGACCCTGAAGGGGGACGAAGACGATGACGACGGCGGCGGCGGCAACGACGACGACGCTGACGCTGACGTGGGCCAGAGTGCTCAGGGATGCTTCTTGGGGTCTCTTCGGAAGGCTCTCGGACCTCTTGGGGGCCTCTTCGGTGTCCCTGGGAACATCTTGTGGGCTTCTTGGGGCCTCTTGGGAACCTCTTGGGGCCTCCTGGGAGCCTCTCGGAGCCGAGGGCTTGAAATGTCCGTTCGGTTCCCCGTCTGGGTACGCTCTTGTAGCCGTCTTGGGGGCCTCTATGAAGGCGTTTTGGGTTGTCTTGGGGCTCTCTTGGGCTGTTTAGGGCCCTCTTGGAGGCCTCTTGGGCCATCTTGGGGCGATCTTGAGGGCCTCTTGGGCCGTCTTGGATCGGCGGGAAGAAGGAAATGTGAGAACGCCCAAATCTGTCAAAAACCTCAGGACATTACCTAATTTTGCCTCTTGGGGCCCTTTTCGGGAGTGCTCTTGGAGGCTTCTTGGTTGCATGGTCAACTTCAACGTGGAACTCCCAGGGAGTAATACGGTGCGGGGACGCGTGCGCGGAAGGGTCAACAAGTGGGTGCGCGAACGAAGCGGGCAACCATCGCCTCAAACAAAAGCCATTGCATGTGTTGTTAGATGTTCGCCCGCATGTATTCGACCTCCGTAGTTCCTGTTTCCCGATACTCGGTCTGCACTTCCCCTGCGCGCTCCCCGCGCGCCCTCGCATCCCCCCTCATAGGGCTTGGACGGCGGGGGCACGGGATGGCGAGAGGAAGAGGAGGAAGCGAAAGTCCACGAGGAGCGGGTTCCACGAGGAGGGTGGGACAGGGAGAGGGATTGCGATTGCGAGTGCGCTGAATGTGGTGAACAAGAGCAAGCCTGGGCGCATGAAACACTCACCCCCGCACGGGGAAACACATACCTGACGTGGGAGGGAGCCCTCGAGACAATCGGGGCAAAGCCTCCCTCCCTTTAGAACTCGGCTGAACACAGCCCGTGGAAGGCTTGCGGGCCTCGTCAACGCCGAAAGACCTACAGACGAGGCAATACAGCACACCCTGGCAGGTCGCTAGGGTGTGAGACTCGTGGACAGAGGGGAAGAGAGGATGGTCGGAGGGAGGGCGCCGCGCCTGGACGTCCGCCACGGACACCGTGGGCGGCTCGTCGCGCGCGTCCCTCTCCTCCTGGGGAGTCCACTCCCCTGAGACCTGGCCGAACTCTGGCAGTGGGACGCATACCCTTGGCCAGAACTGAGACAAGGGCCCTTTCCGAGAGAAGGAGCGGGTCCACCGAGAACACTTGAACATAGTGTTGAGACGAGTGGTGCCGTGACCAGCGGCCAGCAGCCGCCTCTCCCTCGCCTCAACAGTGGTGCTGTCCGACCTCTTACGGGCAGCCGCGAGACCTTCAGGAGAGGGGGCCTCGCGGGAGCAGATGACAAACACTCCACGCTGAATTGTAAGGAGGCGCAACCAAATCTTCTCCTGGAGAGCGTCCGCATCACGGACAGCATTGATTTCTTGAGCTCCCAACTGGCCCCTACGGGCGCCTTCACCAGCACAGGTCAGCTGCATTGTTCAACATGAGCTCCACTCTCGAGATTTGCATATCATCGACTTGTGCCTGGGAGGGGTGGGATTTCGTCCAACGGAGATCAACTTGGCCCGAACGCGTCCCGAGACGAACCCACACACGAGCCCAAAGGTCCAGCATGCTACTCTCATTCCTCACAACATGCTCGGGGGCTTTCCGAAAGCTCCGCACAAGGGGAAGATAACCAGAAAACACCAGAACATTACCTTCCGTGACTGTGAGCAACATCAGCAGGGCGAAGAGTTCAGAACGCGGGGAGCTCTGACAGGGCGGCGGTAACGTTCCAAAATTACCACTTGCCACTTGAGCTTCGTTGACACGGAGCATAGCAGCACTCCACCCACACCTCCTTAGTCTCCATTCCTTAGTCTCACCACCTCCCGATCCATCGATCCCCCAGACTCCCCCAGTGAGAGGAAGGGCCCCTTGGAGAGCTCCAAAGGCCCAGGCCGACGAGAGAGGAGCGGGCAGACCGTTCACGACCTGGTCAAGGGACACCAGCCCTCGACACCACAGGGAGGGGAGCGAGGAGTTCTCCGCGATCGCAATCGGGGCCAGAGACTCTGTGGCTTGGACAGCAGCATCGTCCAGGGCGTGGTAGGCCGTGCACTGCCAGAAGCGGTGCACGGGCTCAGGCTGAAGCCGGCACTTGGGACACAACGAGCAGGCGGCGCACCCAGTCTCAAACAGGCGATCCTCCGTCCAGAACCGCCCCGCGAGAGTGTTCCAAAGGATCGCCTGGGATTCATAATCGAGGTTTCGCCCAAACTGCTTCAACAATCGCCTCGGCACGGAGAAATCGACACCTTCCTGGACCCCAGCGCCCAAATAGTGCCCAGCAGCTTTTCCCAGGTCCAACGGGAACAGGTAACCAGGAGGGCCCTCCAAAGGTAAAATCGAACGTCCAGGTTTTCAACAGCCAAGGCGAAGCCAAACTCATCTTGCCACTCACAGGGAGAGGTGGGAGTCCACTCCAAATCGAAAAGGGTGGCCACAGTCGCCATCACTGGCCCCCGCACCCGCCTCCAACGACACTTGGCGGGGATGCTCAGGTAGAATTCGACCGCAGCCACCCAAACATTCTTGACACGCATACGGTCTCGCGGACCGAGATCCCGCCACAGGTCGGCAAAGCTAAGCAACTGCTCATAGACACCAGCGCCAGGACCGTAGTGGAGCAGGAGCCTGGGGCCCACCACCCAGAGCACTGGGCCGCTTAGCCCCTCACCGTTTGCAGTTGGTGGGGGACATGCCCACCAGTTGGTGGCCCCAGGTTCCAGCCGACAACACACCAGGTTTGAAAAGCTTGGGCGCCTTCCGATAAATACGTGTCAACATCGCAACATTGCCATCGCGGCGCCGCGCGTCAAGCCTCCGCCGTTTGATATCAGAGACCCTCCGCCTGCTTTCAGCCGTCGTACAGGAACCCAAGTCCCGAGTATTAATTTGGCGACGCATTGGAAGGCCCACAGCCTGAAGGCTAGACGCGAGTTGAGCTCCCACAGCCTGAGAGGAACAAACAAGAGCGCTCTTGGTGCTCAGCGTCAGGTCAAGTAGCTCAATCTCGTGCGCAAAACGAACAGCAGCTGGCAGCACGTGCGTCTGGAGCTCCTGCTGCTGGCCAGCGATGTTCTGGGCAATGTCATCGACAGAAGCCCTGGTCACTACCCTAGAGAGCTCACCATTCATTTGAGACTGACAGGCCTCAAGGGCCTGGAGGAGGAGGAGGAGGAGGAGGAGGAGGAGGAGGAGGAAGAGAAGGATGAGGACATGATACATATAGGGGACCGGAGGGGAGCAGGACGACGAGGGGGAAGAGGAGGAGAGGGAAAACGACGAGGAAGAGAGGAGCAAGTATGAAGAGCATGATGCGGGGCGGAACACACGTTGGGGAAGTGACCAAGCAACTCTTACTAATGGTGCGTCGGGCGCCCCCCTCTCTATTAAGCTGCATGCTGATACACCTCTCTGATCAAGACAACTCGGTTGGGCATCGTCTCTGCAACTGCAACGCCGCATCGGCAAGGCATAACAGGACCCTGGACGTGGACACTTAGGTAGCAGGTCGTACGAGCGAACATTGTGGACACCTTAATGGTAGAACGTCCGAGCGATCAACGGGGACACATAGGTGGCAGGGCAGAGCGCCTGCTACTACCTACTACGGTCTACAACGCCCTGGCCCCCAAAAAGTGCCCCCAAGAGGACGCGACGATGGCCCCAAGACGCATCCACGATGCTCCCAGAGCGAGAGATCGGAAAGGTGTTGATATCGACTCCTGTGGTCGTGGAACCCGCTCCTCGTGGAACCCGCTCCTCGTGGACTTTCGCTTCCTCCTCTTCCTCTTGCCATCCCGTGCCCCCGCCGTCCAAGCCCTATGAGGGGGATGCGAGGGCGCGCGGGGAGCGCGCGGGGGAAGTGCAGACCGAGTATCGGGAAACAGGAACTACGGAGGTCGAATCCATGCGGGCGAACATCTAACAACACATGCATTGGTTCTTGTTTGAGGCGATGGTTGCGCGCTTCGTTCGCGCACCCACTTGTTCACCCTTCCGCGCACGCGTCCCCGCACCGCACTACTCCCTGGGAGTTCCACGTTAAAGTTGACCATACAACTTCTTGGGGCGTGTTGGAGGCCTCTTGGGCAGCCTGGAGGGCGTCCAGGCGTTTCGGACCCATCGTTAGGCGATTGGGTGCCCTCCCGGACTTTTT